CTACACCATCATACACCATCTGACAACCATCTGACACATTTCGACCATCATACACCATCATACACCATCTGACAACCATCTGACACACTTCGACCACCCTACACCATCATACACCATCTGACAACCATCTGACACACTTCGACCATCATACACCATCATACACCATCTGACAACCATCTGACATACTTCGACCATCATACACCATCAGTACCATCTTCACCATCTGACAACCCTTCCCTGTATAACCACCCTACACCATCATACACCATCTGACAACCATCTGACACATTTCGACCATCATGCACCATCTGTACCATCTTCACCATCTGACAACCCTTCGCTGTATAACCACCCTACACCATCATACACCATCTGAAAAGCATCTGACACACTTCGACCATCATACACCATCATACACCATCTGACATACTTCGACCATCATACACCATCTGTACGCGCAGGTCGCGAGGATGAAGTCTGATCTATATAAATCGTATTTAAACTGTACTAACTGTACTAACTGTAGGGAGCCACCTTAAGGAGGACTTAGAACCAGAGGATTTGGATAAAGTCTACGGTCGCCTTAAACCCAGAGAAACTGACGAAACTGTCTATTACGTACAAGAGTTTAAAATCGCGTGTGCGGATAAGGAGTTCTCGAATTCCTAAGAACCGACGAGTACAAGATAAGAAATATATTCCTAAAAGATATTGACGTCACAATGGATTACGCTGGTAGTTTTGAGTTTTGACAAGGACGAGGTAATCGAGTACTTGACAACGAAGAAAGGTTTTCGCATCCAAGGCAGTATAAAAGATGCAGACAGAACAATATTGGATAATACCGACCAGGTTGGAAATAACTGCCTCACATACATGGAAACTGTGGATGGTCTGACTGATCGTTGCAAAATTTACAACAAAATGGTGCAAATGCTGGAGAGCAAGAGCGTTCGAGAAACCGTTGGGCAACACTGGAAGGACTGGGTTTGCCAGAAAGATACACGTTTGGCAAATGCTCGCGATTTGGCCAAAGATCGTGGTTTGACGCGGGCCGAAGTGACCTTTTATTGCAAGGACCGTGTTCCAAGTGACAACCTTATGGAGGATACTCTACTACGTATTACAGAATATGTTCCACCTGCTATTGTCTACTCCACACCATTTGGAGAAACTTGGAGAGCTTACTGTGACTCCATGTTGCATAGCTTGGTCGTCATAGACAGAACACGCGATGTTGGATTAATAGTGTACACGTACAACGAGATGACGAAGAACATAAGCGGACAGTTTGTGGAAAGCTGGGCAGACAAGGAGAAGTGGTGTCTTGGTAATCTAACCCTCGGTTCTACATTACCTCTGGACGTCATCGAAGTGTGCGATCGAAGTAAAGCTATGAGTACGAAAAGCAAAACGAAGACCTATGATGTACACGTAGACATTTCCGGAGTACGGTATTTTAAAAATCGTAAAGATGGAAATGCAGACTTTACGACGAGACTCGTGTCCAAAGGTGGAGTTTACAGCTGGTACGAAGGGAGTAAAAAAGATGATGCACTACTATTAGTCAAAGCTGGTTTAGTGGCACACGAGCATTGTACGCCTTCTCTTGCACACGTACAGGGAAACAAGAACAGTAAAGTGGATATGATATGGAACTGTTTCGAAGGGACATCTTAGATGTCAAAATACCAGAATCGTCTTGTAGAAAAAAGCACAAAGCAACCGATAGCAAACGAAAGCAGCAGTGGAAAGAGGTGGCCCGCGAAGCAGCAAGCGATATACAGGAAAGTCGTAAGCCTTTCGAAGATGCGATCACAGAGAAATGGAACAAACTTAGTTTATTGAACAATTATAGCAACGCTTTCTCCAATAACAAGATTATCCACCTTAAAGATCTACCTCTGGGTTCCTACAACGTCATGGCCATGCGGGAGACCCAGACCCAGTTTGGAGACTTTGCTATTCCAATAAGTACATCGAAACATACATACGCGGAAACCTGTCGGACGCCGAGAAGGAGAAGATAAAAGATCCTAAACGAAATTACCTCACTCTCTTCGAAAAACCATTGGCAATACTAAACGTAACAGGATGGGGACGCACACCGCAACGAAACGTCATCGTTTATTGTAACATATCTTTGACGAAGGACATGCAAAAGCATTCCATTAAACGTCTACGCGAGCAAGTGACGGAAGAAATACGAGAACAAACAGCGATGTTAACGAAGATGCAAGCGGAACCGAAAACGGCTTCTAAAGCACTACCAATACTAACCAGGGAAGAAATGGTGCCCTACAAGCACATGCGAAATTTGGCCGAGTTATCTCTTGGTTCGACCCACACACTTGTGGCAATCGGTTACATTGAGCATTACGGGCAAGAGAAACTTGTGGTCAAACTGTCCTACGGTATACTTTACCAGGCTGGGGATAATTTGGAGGGACAGAAAGAACAGTTACTGGACGATTGTAGAGTAATAATAACAAAGATTCGAGTAAATCATTCCACAAAAAGAAAGTTTGCTGTTTGTAAGCTTGTAGAACGCGGGGATTGGGCTGGCGTACTGGAGTACGAGAACGTGCCGTTGTTGCCAGCGAAGAAGAAGCGAAGTCTGCTAAAGGTCCTGGACGTTAAGCCCATAGAACATAAAGGACAAAAGCGTAAACTTGTGCTAACGGAAGACGGAACAGTTTATAAAATCAAACGATCCAAGTTGGAAAACACTGCAAAAGCTGGACAATATGTTTAAAAACTGCTTATGTGTGTAAATAATTGTTATGCGTTAAAAATATATTGTTACAAACGTTAAACTGTGTCTGTGTTTTTATTTTTTCCATGCATCCAAACCACAGCAGTAGATTTTGCTCTAAAATGAGTACGACTTCGTATTCGTCAAACCCCTTTTTTCCTCCTTCTGATGTCATTGAGAATGCCTATGTCTACGTCTACGGAGGTCTGTACCATAGATATAAGAGGTGTAGATTGCCAATTCGTATACGTCACTATACTGACAAACGCGCCAAAATTCAAACAAAATTTGCCCGGTTGATTCAACGAACGAAGCTTAATGGGAGCTTTTGCTGGATAATCACAGCATTAATTTCACATTACCGTGAAATATATTCAATATAGAAGTGTTGTGGAGGGTTTGTTGTTTACCTCTCCTATTGGATCCTTGAACACTCTCAATAAACTCTCTAACGTACATTTATTCATAAAAGTTTTACAAAAGGGTATTTATATTAACGTATAAACTCTCTATTGTGTATTTATTCATAAAAGTTTTACAAACATGTATTAATGTTTCAATACATATTTTATTCATAAAAGTTTTACAAAAAGTGTATTTATATTAATGTTTCAATACATATTTCATTCAAACATCTCTGCGTTGTTCTTCTTTACCTAAAATGGTGGGAAAATTTTACATGAAAAAATGGCGGGAAAATTTTACATAAAAATGGTGGGAAAATTACCCTAGAAAAAATGGCGGGAAAATTCCGCTATAAAAAATTTATGGAAAAAATGGCGGGAAAATTTTTCCATATGGGGGGGGTAAGACTACTGTGGCAGGCATTAAAGTGGCGTGTTTTTTGACACACTTTGTGTCATTGTAAAAGGAAAACGTGTCATTGTAAATTGAAATGTGTGTACTTGAGACAGTGATAGTGTTATTGGTCTTGTGAATAAAGCCTGGAAAATCCATTTCCAGCCATTTCCCACAGCAATTTTGTTTAAAGTAACCGTGTATTTATTGCCTGATGGTATAGCTACAATACTGGACAAAACCATCTGCACCGCAAAGCCACGAAGGAATGTTTTGACAGAGTGTCGCAGATTCTGCGACACTCTGTCAAAACATTCCTTTGTGGCTCTTTTTTTTACCACTTAGACGGGAATAATTTACTCGTTAGCCCCCCTCCACCCCCAAAACAATGTTGCACGTTTTATCCGCGTATTCTACGAATACATGCAATCAACATTGATTGGTGGGGGTAAGGGGGAGGTTTTCTAAATTTGCGATAACATTACGAAATTTTGTCAAATAAATGAAAGTGTCGCAGATGATTTGTCCAGGATTGTATAGATACATACTCCATTTCTGGTTTATATATTTCTGGTTTTTCTGTTTATAACATGTCAAGAAACGCCTGACCAATTACCAACGACTTCACTTATTTTCATTTCGGTTTTCAGATAATAGCAATATCCACAGAAGTCATGCTACAAAAATCAGGATTCGTTTACAAGAATTTTCATTAGACAATTGATAATTTAGTTATAAATCATTTAGACTGCATGATTTATTTACACTTTCTTAGTTCGCGAGTGTTTTGTGCCCAACGGCTGTTTTGCGTTCCACACTTCCAAGTGATTGTTGCCCTTGCAAGGTGAAGGTATGAAAAGTGCCAACTTCTACATGCTAGCACTTGGTGGTCCATCAAACGGTAAGACCCATGAAGGCACAAAAATTGTGTAACTGAAGAACCTATTTTACACAATTTGGAGCCGAAAACTGGAGCAGAACTTGATATAGAAGGCGCTACGTCCAAATGACTTTTCAATTTTTACATACATCCGAAGCAAAAACCGAGTTGAACGTTCGCGATTGACGAATGTCATGAGTGGTTTAGGATGATGCATGATTGGCTACAAGAGTGCATTGCCAGCCCCAATGCCAACCCCCCCCCCCAATGCCAACCCCCCAATGCCAACCCCCCAATGCCAACCCCCAATGCTACAATGGTTCATATTGATAACGAGAATGAAGGAACACGGACAAAAGAACGGATGTTCATTCGGCAGCTTTGGCACTATCATGCTTTATTCAACCCGCAAACGTATTTTATGTCCAGTGATGTCAAAAATAGTGAACAACAGTAAATAAATGGGCTGTTAATTAGAGACATTTCTTGTACAGTACACACCTTCCGTCAGCTAATAGTGCTCCTATATAAGTGTACATATCTACCCCATAGCTCGCATTTTCCAGCGGACGTGCGGTGAAAATCCTTATTTTAGTACCTGCAGTGTGGACACATTCAGAGCCAACATCAGAAACATACAATTGTCACAAGTTCAGTATTTCAAGCCGTATTTTATGTACCTAAAATACCAATATATGCACTGCTAAGGAGTATACGTTTTTGGACATGCACTGGTTTTCACGTAGATATCAGGAATAGCTTGTAGAAGTCCTTGCCTTGCGGCAAGACTCGCTTTTCACTTTCGCTCAAGAATCATAAATTCTTGTTGCCTGATCATGAAGCTTAGTGTTCGAGTTATATTTTAGCTGTCAGATGACGCTAGTCTTAATCCACTGGTTGTTTATACAAAGCCAGAAGGTGTCCCCAGTAAGTGAAAGAGCTGTATACGTGTTCGAGACTTTTACACAGCTACGTATTAGTGGCTTACAAAATTCAATTGAGGAGATAAATTTTGCAGTTGTTAAGTATCAATGGGTTTAATGACCCCTGACTATCAACAGTCATAAAAGTATTTCTACCAGACCAATTTGCCAAAATTTAACTGTGCGAAAATCTGGAACCTGTTTAATTATTGCTTTTTTTGGACACACAGATTACCTCACTTACTGGCTTTCTTCTATATATACTTTGTTAAAGAAGCTTTATGTCTCGGATTACGAAACTAGTTTAACTTCTCAATTCTAGCTATTACGTGGCAACGATGTATTTGCACCAGCGAGCTCCATATATATTTGGAGCGAAGACTGATCGAGTCCAGAAAGCGAAGCCAAAGATGGAGCTATGCATGGACATCAGTTTCGTCGCTTTCTATTGTTTTTGTCTGCGCGGTCTGCAAGGAGTGTGCCGAAATTTCGTATTTTTGACTTCGAATTAAAGAATAATACTACGGTTTTATGAACTGGCTGGGAAAAAACTGGTTTGCTTCATAAGATTTTATTCACTACAACCTGTTTTCGTATGACAAGCAATGCTTGCAACACTCATCAGGTGAATTTAAATGTCGCGCTATGTTGTTGCCAAGGTTATATATACTATGTACATGTTTGACGTACACAGAATATGCTCAAATATTAGATTACATATATACAGTAGATTATAATATAAGTGGGATATAACAGACGATTTCATTGGCTAATGCGCGTGCATTGTGACGCAATAATGCACTGTGATCTGTAGCACTGCTTAATTGCTCTTTCTCTGTTTTTACCCCCGCTTCATCTCTGCTTTTTAGCCAAAAATATAAACAAAACTATAGAGCTTTTAAAATGCAATATTTACCAGAAAGCAAGAAGGAATAGACCAAAGGAACAAAGCAATTTTTTATAGTTCTACGTGTAGAATAAACCGGCTTGGTATTCGTCGAATTTGTTGTTGTCTCGACAAGTTTTGCGTAAAAGCGTACAAAATAGTTGGGGAAAAAACTTGAAAAAGATACAGCTGGAAGATCAAATACATACAAAAAGGCAACAAAAACTGAATACAAGTGATTTAGAAAGTACCTTCAATTCTTCTGATAATAACTGCTAGATATATTTTCGGCGAATTAAAGATAAAAAATACAATAATTTCGAAAATTAAAACTGAGTTTAAACGCGACGAAACCTACGATTTATCGTCTTTCATGGCAAATCCAGCAGCCCAGATGCTGAAAAATTTTGGCAAGTTAGTCTGTGTATCACTGCTTTTTTATTTCCACTATTTTAAACAATTTTTCCGGCTTTATAGGATCAAAAGTTTGTATATTGTTTTGACAATTTTGCTCCTTCGCTCGCTTAAAAATTCAAGCAACAGTGAATGAGTAAAAGCATGGGCGTGACGTCACTGAGTACATGTAAGGAGAATTTCAACGTCGATCTTTTGAGTAAAATTGTTTACTATGTAATATCTTCTACTTATATTATAAAAGAAATAGAAAAACTCGTCTCGTGCGTTTATAGTGCGATAATGCACTTGGGGAATGTTGGGAGAATACTCGAGAAGCGTGTAAAACACTCGGCTACGCCTCGTGTTTTACACGCTTCTCTCGTATTCTTCCAACATTCCCCGCGTGCATTATCACACCATAAACGCACGCGACTCGTTTTCTATTTCTTAATTACTGCACAGATTATATATAGAGAATATAGACGGTTGCGAGGAGATATGGATTTATGTTCTCGTGTCAAAAACAATATCTCACTCGTTCGCAGATTCTGCTTGAGTTCATGAGTATCAGTCAGTCACTGAAATACATGTAGTTCTTACATAATCAGTACAAAAACTATAGTGTTTCTTACACGCGCCTTTATTTTGCATCAGATATGAAGTTTGGAACAACATCAGTTACATATGTGATTGCATCAACAACAAATCACATTGCATAATCTGAAGAGGACAAAGTCTGAGAACAACAAAGCCAAGAAATTAGAACGCGTCATACAGTAAGTCATGACATTCAAATGTCTAAATGGAACAACACCCGAATCTTTATCTCAGCAATTTGTGAGGAGAGTCGATATTACTAGTAAACTCTCTTTGAACATCCCCTTTCTCAAGCGTGCAACTGGTCAACGGACAGTTTTATTACCACGCTGTCCCTGTAGTTTAAGTTAATGTCTTTAATCATAAATGACGTAAATACTTTTTAGAAAATCATACATAGTTGCATTTAGCCTTTGTATAATTTATATAATTTTTTGCATATGTTATTTGGCCCGAAAAATCCCCGTTGAGGAGAGTCAATGCATTGCATTGCATTGTATTACATTGTATTGTATAAGTCAATTAGAAAGCATATATATAGTAACAACATTGTGTAAATTAATAAATTCCTTTTATTTAGCTCTGTCCAATTCAATTATAATCAGTTCAGTTTAATTCATTTTCAAGTGCTTGAAAGCTTAACCTTTTTGCAATTTCTTGTTCCTGAGCTTTTAAAAAGCTTATGGAACTGATATTATTAACTTTCTCAACATGAGGTGACAACTTCTAAGAAAAACAATACATACCGTATTTAATACTCGTTTGAGGGCCACCCCCGATTGAGCGCCGCCCCCGAATGAGCGCCGCATTTGAGATCAAATTTTTTTAAACAGTGTAAAAACTTTCCGCCCGTCAAAATGGGGACATTTAGTGACAAAGACATTTAAAACTTCTTTATTTTATTGTTAAAAGTTCTTCTTATAATTCACAAATAAAAGATGTTTTAAAGAGCGTCGCCCCCGATTGAGCGCCGCCCCCGAATGAGCGCCGCATCTGAAGCTATGAAAATTTAAAGAGCGCCGCGGCGCTTAAACGAGTAAATACGGTATATATGTTTTTATGTTCGTAGGCGTACGGGGCTGATGCTTTCCGAGGGGGATTGAAAGTTTGCCTGAATATTAATGGCGCATTCTAAGGAAATAACCTGAATTTAACATATTTTCTGATAAATCTGCACGATTTTTCCTAGCATTTGCCCGAATACCCCCACCCCCGCGTCTTGTCTCGTGCGCCAATGCGTATGTTCATATTCTAACTCTGTATCTGATGTAGTACATGTCGGCAAGCTTGAAAAATTCGGTGCCAAAGCTCTGTATTCAGAATATATCTGAACTCCCCAACGGGAATCGAACCGGTGTCTTCCAGTTGCCAGTTCGGCAACTTCGGTTGTTGTACCACTAGACTATATGGTTTCAGACAGCAATGCGATGTTAACTAGACACCTGGTTCCTACTGATATGTGCGTACTTTGTACTGATATGAACCATATGTATGAACATACGAACACATATATCAAATTACAAAATATGTGTTGAGCTTTTCAATGTGTGAAGGATAATGTGTGAAGATTGAATTCAACTTCCAGTCGCCAAAATATTACGGATTGCGTGCTAGCTCAATAATCAGATAAGTAGTTACGATATTGTGTCATTTGCTGGCAGATAATTCAGTTATTTGTTTTCAAGCTATTACAAAGAAAATATTGGCCGTTTTATATATGAATTGAACTGATATTATACACTTGCCTGATAGGGATTCGTTTCTATCCAATCCTAAGAGAAATAACATACCACTTAGAAAACGTATTATTTGACGTATGATACAAATAAAATAAATTAAATTAGCATAATCAGCGAGCATAAAAAGTGGCCAGACACGAAGACAGTCATTCAGAGGATAACAAAACCCAAAGATGAAGACAACGTTTTTTTTACTCGTTCTTGCTATACTCTTTGCTGTGGCTTATACGATTCCGATCGAAAAAGAAAACGCTGGATATGGTTTGGTTAAGGAAGTGTTGAAAAATGACAACGCTGTGATGAACCATGATGACGATGAAGACGATAATGTTGAAAAGTCAGTGCTTTTACAATTTCGAGTTTGACACTCAGCTTTCTTAACACAAATTTCACCCAGCGTGAATGCTCCACGGACGAGCAATAAAGTTCTACGTACGTCAACATCAGTAGACTGATTTAGAAAACACGACGCGAACTGAAGTCTTTTGAAACAAAGACTGGACTTGATTTCA